CAAACGTGTCCCTCCCCGTCACAACACAGACGAACCTGGAAAGAGCTGCCTGCGCCCTGCTCCCGCCTCAGCCTGCGCAAGGCCACAAGACAGCTCAAGGGAAGCCAACAGGACCCCATCTCTAAACCCCGAATGTCAACAGAGCAGCGGGCCTCAGACGGGACCTCAGGCAGGCAGACACTGACATGCAGTGGCTGCGGCTCCCCACCTGGCCACGCCACGTGGGCAAGTTACACCCCGAGCCTGGGTTCCTGCTGTGGGACACACCCGAGACAGACAGAATCCCAGTGAAGGAGAGGAAGCTGCCTGCTGCTGCGACCTGCCAAAATCAGAAAACTCAAGTGGAATGCAGCTCTGTGAAGCCAGTTCTGCAGCCTCATTTCTTTCTTCTCAGTTCCCAAATTAAAGTAAACCGAGGACATATGCAGCAAAAAGCTGTGATCTTTTTGAGAAGAGGCTTTCAAATATATCTCAAAATTCAGCTTCAGAGAACATGGTCTCTAGCTGAAGCCACACGGCAGCCTAACGGCTGCTGTCAAAGGCTCACTGAGCATTTCACTCGCGAGAGGTAGGAAGAGGAGGGTCATGGACTGTGCTGTCACCCCAGCCCACTCACTTCACTTCTCAGGGACTCGATGGGGATAATGATAAGAAGAACTTAACTAAAGCAAGTGGCACTGTGCCTGGAACTATGTCACAGATACACAACTGCCATTAGAAAGTCACCTGATTCCACATGAACATATGAAATATACACATCTGTACTACTCGCGCCCTTAACACTTCAGGCATGTTAATTACGTAACAAGACACTATATCTACTATGTCTCTAACCAAACACATACGAAAAGTGGATTGTTAGCATGATTCAACTAAATTTTATTTTCCTGCAGTAATGGGGATTGAACCCAGTGGTGCTACATCAAGGAGCTGCAGTCCCAACCCCCACCCTCCGGACCCTGCTTTTAATTTTGGGGGGGCAATAGGGTGGGTGCTGCAGATTGAACTCAGTGGCATTCAACTCCTGAGCCCCACCCCCGGCTCTTTTTTGTAAAAGCAGTGATAATCAGGATGAAACAGGTCTGCAGGAATCTCAGTGATTCATCTGGGTCTCATGCAGTTGTTTAGCACTCACGATCCTCCTGCCTCAGCCTCCGCGGAGCCACTGGGATTACAGACATGCACCACCACTCCTGGCCCTGCTTTGAAGACAAGGTCTTACTTAGTTGCTGAGGCTGGCCTGGAACTAGCATCCCTCCTGTCTCAGCCTCCCAATGTGCTAGGATTACAGGCATGTGCCACTGCTCCTGGCCCAATTCAGTTAAACAGTAGACAAATTTTTCTATATTGAATTTAAAAACACTTAAGATTTTTTTTTTTTGTCAAGCTTCCAAATTCCATATTAAGAGCAGACATATAATTTAAAGAGACATCACAGGGGTAAAAAAGGGGTCTTAAATAAGACAATTATAAAAGGGAGATTTTAAGAATGTAATTATCATCCCCAAAAGAAGGCTCAAAGTTTGAAGATCATTAAGATATATCAAGGTGAGGCACATCAATGCCCAGGGGCAATGAACACTTTACCAGGTTCTCCTGATCTCTTCTGATAAAGGTAGAAAGCCATCGTCCCCTACCTGGACAGTACCTATCTGTACACTTGGTATTTAGACCAGATGAATCCCTGAGATTGCTGCAGACCTGTTTCACCCTGATTATCAGTGCTTTTACAAGGAACAACTCCTGTGCCCACTGAGCTCAGCACGTTAACACTACAGGAAACATGGCCCTTTGGTCATGTAATTACCTTCTACAAACCAAACACAGGAATAGGTCATTCCAAAAGAACAACTGAAGTTAAGAACACCAAGTCAGAGCACTTGTACTTTCTGTGTTTTGTCACAGCTTAAAATAATCATCGCAGCAGCCTCTACTAAGTGTCTAATACACACCAAGTTCTTTGTATATTAATGAACTTAATCTTTACAGTAACCCTGAGAGGAAGGTCTGAGATTAGGCAACCTGCCCACGATCCTAAACACGCAAGTGGAAGGCAGGGGATTAACCTGAGTCCCAGAGGCCAAGCTCCTATCCTCTAACATCCCAGGATCTGGCCCCTGCCGCCCTGATCCCCTCCCTGATTCTGAGGAACCGTTTTCTGTGAAAACTAACAGAAAAAACGTTTCCTGTGAAATACTCTCTATCATCCAAGCCTTTCAACCCCAAGTGGTCACCTTCAGTTCCTCTAATCAAAATTAAGACAATGTACAAATAAGTAATCTCCAAAATACTAACCACATCACAACATGTTTTACATATTGGCTTACTTTAGCTATTTTTCCAAATTTCTTCTCTTAAATGGGACTACTGGACACAAGACTGGGCCTCAAGAAATCAAGTGAGGACTGGGGCTGTGGCTCAGTGGTAGAGCACTTGCCTAGCAAGTGTGAGGCACTGGGTTCAATTCTCAGTACCGCATATAAATAAATGAATAAAAATAAAGGTTCATCGATGTTTTTAAAATTTATATACATTATACACACACACACACACACACACACACACATATATATAGGAAAAGAAATCAGGTGAACTTATCACCAGGTACTCTGATATTTTCCATTGTTTATAAGGCAGTCATTTTTTTCCCTCTCTCCCCTTCCCCTTTTTTTCCAATGCTGGGGATTAAACCCACAGCCTCACACTGCATGCCAGGCAAGCACTCTACACTGAGCCACATCCCCAGTCCCTACGGCGGTCATTTCTGTCAACAGCAGTGACATGTGATTACTCTGTTAAGTGACCACCTTAAATCAACACTATGTACAGATTCCCTGTGACCATTCCCCAGTGGAGTGCTGGCTTGTGATCATTAGCGGTTAAGGACAAGCCTCCACTCCAATTTGCTAGTCCTATAACCTGCAGCCAGATTACTTCCATCTAGGCCATTTCCTATAATTTAGTACTTAAAACATGCATCTACCATTTTTGTGGAGAAAATCCAAATTTCTGAACAAAAAACTACGATCCAAAAATATCTAATAAACTCTCAATGTTATGGCCCTTTAAGGTCTGTAAGACAATTTTGTAAGTAGGTTCCGAAATGTGACATACAATTTTGTGAAAATTTTATGTTAAGAAGATATCTGAAGGAGAAATGAAATTTTTTTCTGCCAAATAACTATTTTGAAATGTTCACAACACTCTTAAAGTGATGTTGAAAGGATAGAGTCCAGGCAAATTCATTGTGGAATCATAAATACCAGACCTCCACCTAAGAAACACATGCTCTGTCATGCTCATCCTACATTCTTGATATCTGATAAAATAATATCCAACAGTTAGCCTTAGTTATTGGAACAGTAAAGCCCCACCGCCACCCCAAGTACTGAGGATTGAAGTCAGGGACACTTTACCACTTAGCTATATCCCCAGCCCTTTTTATTGGAGACAGGGTCTTGCCCAGGCTGGCCTCAAAACTGAGTTCCTTTTGCCTCAGTCTCCCGAACTGCTGGGATTACAGACATGTGCCACTGTGCCCAGCTGGAAACAGAAAAGCTTTAAAAGTCTTAGTAAATTCCTTCCACTGATCATGAATTTCATGAGACCAGCAACTCTATCCGGATTATCTAAGCAACAATGACCTCCACATCAATCGTTTTTGATCCTTGAGGGAGTCTTAGATCCTTCTGATGAAAGCTGGGGACCTTCTTCCCAGAGTTTTTGCAAAGTTCACAAGCCAATCTCCAGGCCCTAGAGAAGAACTGTGTTCTTTACCTTGCACCAAATGAAAGAAGAAACATGATGGCAATCTAAAACTCTGACAGAAAATCAACCTTTCCATTTACTCAATTTGTTAGAAAAACAAGCCTCTTTACAGATTCTAAACCAAAGGCATTAGGGTGGTGAATTCGTTTGAAGGCAGCTCTGATCAAATGTATTGATCCTATGCACCCAGAACTCTTTCTCCTGAAACTTCACATAGTGGATTCTTCTTGCCTTTCAATATTCAGCTCAAATGTCATGTCCTCTGAAAAAAATTACTTTCATGACCATCCTATCTAAAGCAATCCTCAGACCCTTTTAAAACACTTCTTGCTCTTTTACTTTCACTGTAGTACTTATTAGCATTTAAGAATGTCTCATTTATCTTACTTTGACTGTTCTGTTAAGAGTATAACTCCACAAGAGCAAGGACTTTGTCTTGTTCCCCATTGAATCCTAAGTGCCTGCCACAGTGCCTAGCACACAGTGGGCATTTGATAAATAAAAGGGAGACCAATGCTAGTGTCAACTATAGATCTTTTAACTAATTATAAGTTAGATTTCTTTTTCCCTTTCCATAGTCTTCAGGTCCATTTAACCAGCAAATATTTATCGAGCACCTACTGTGTGTCAGACACTGTTGCAGTTGCAAGGAATACAGCAGTGAATTTCGGACAAGTATCTTTGCTCTGTAGACCCTATGTTTTAGGAGACTGCCCAGAATAAGCAGATGTCTTGCACACTACTGTGACACATCACCATCCACACACCTTCCTGAGGGAAAGAGCTAAGCAAAATCCCAAATACGGGGAAAACATTCTCCAACTGGGCACTTCCAAAGCAAGTCTCAGGGGCTTCCCAACTGGGACGCTCTTCCCACCTGTTCTGCTCACGTGGGGGAACCCCAAACAGCAGAGCCCAGGTAAAGGAAAAACTTAGGGCAAGGACAACTGCTTCTGAGGACTTGGAGGTGGTGAGGGCAGGAACCAGGAAACAGAACGCCAAGAGTCGTGGCAAAAGCCCTGAGCATGGAGGCTGGAGAACCAGCCCTAGCTGTCACCAACTTGCTAGGTGACCTTGGGCCAGTCCCGCGCTGCCCGGGCATCCGTTCCCCCGGGGGGCACCAGGGGAGGAGGCCGGGAGGGTGGGATTTGGGGTGGGGGTGGGGGAAGCGGAGGCCAGGAGGCCGGGCTGGTAACGGCCGGCGCGGGGCCGGGCCGGGGCGGCTCACCCACCGAGCGCCACCTGGCAGGCCCTGCGCAGCTGGGAGTGCTGGGGCCGCTTCACCTCCTTGTCGGCTAGGATCTTCTCCAGGGCCCGGGACACGAACATGCTCTTGGTCTGGCTCTCCTGCATGGCCCCGGCCCGGAGGGGGCTGGCAGCCCCGCGGGCGGGCGGCGCGAGCGAGCGGACTAGCGAGGCTGCGGGCCCGGCGTCCCGGCCGGCACCGGCCGCGTCCGTGCGCGCCGCCCCGTCAGGAAGCGACGGCGCGGCCCCACGGCGTCGCCATGTTGGAGCGCGTCACGTGATCACGTGACTGGCGGGGCCGCTACGGCCGCTGCGCGTCCGTCGACCCTGTGACCCGAAGGGGCGTGGCCTACGCGGGGCGGGGCCAGGGAGGCGGGGCGAGCACGTGGGTGAAGGGAAGCGGGACCTGGGGACCCGGAGGAGGCAGGTGGGAGGGCCGAGGCGAGGTGCGGGCTGACAGAGGAGCGGGACCGGAGATGGAGTGGAGATGAGGGAGGGAGCGGAGTGGAGATGAGGGAGGGAGGGGCGGGGAGAAGATCCGAGTGATGGGGCAGAGGCGGGTCTGAGGGCGGGGGAGGTTGGAGGAGGTCGACGGGGAGGAAGGGGAGGAAGAGGAGTGGCGGGTGACAGGAGGGAAGAGGAAAGGGGACGAGGAAGGTGAGAGCCGGAGAGAGGCGGAGGGGAAGAGTGACGAGTGGAGGAGGTGAGGACGCGGGAAGGGACGATGGGGCGGAGGGAAGCCCGGGAGGAGCGGGGAAGTGGGGACGGTGCGGAGGGGCCGAGCGGAGGCCTTGGGAAGGACGCGCCAGGACGGGGAGAGCCGAAGGCCCAGGGGCGCTTCACGGGACAGGCACCGGCCACGCAGCTCTCCTGTCGCCACGGTGCCGCCCGCTGGGGCAGCCAGCGCAGGAGTGGGCCGGGCTGCCCTCTGCAGTTTCTGGTCTGTTTTCTGCACCTGTGCTTCCTCGCCGTGCAGTGGGCACGAGAGGCGGCTTTGGTGCACGTGACAGGGGAAGAAACTGACTCAAAAGACTAGCGGGTAAGAAACAGAGGTCCTGGCCCCAGGGCCACTTCCACTCAATCCCAAAACAGAGTTGCTGTCACAGCAGCCATAGTGCTGTCCCCAGCCCCCTTCCTCTCACACCACCTGCCTCCCCGTGGGCAGCCTTGCTACTGAGGGTCACTCAAGGACAGATGTCATTCTTGGACATCATGGGAAATTCTCTCATAGGCGTGTGCAGATGCTCGGGCCTCCAGTGTCTTTTGTCGGCCCTCCCCAGCCGCTTTGCCTTCCCGGGTTGGTGTTTTTCATGGTATTTACTGGCCTTTTTGTTTGTGGAGTCACTAGAGTGAGCCTTCAGAGGGGTCTGCTGGGTCCCCAGGGCCTGATCCAGAGCCAAGTGGAAGGTTTTATGGCCATGAATTCCCTAACTTCCACTGACTTTTAATGTGCATTGCTGCTCCTCCCAACAAGGGGTGGAGTCTTCCTTAATCCCCTGGAACTGGGCTAGCCTGTGACTTGCTTGACCAGCAGTGAGCTGCTTGTGCACCAGAGCCTGGGTATCAAGAGGCCTGGCCCACTCCTTCCTTTGCTCCTGGAATGCTGCATGATGCTCCGAAACGGTCCTGGAAGAAAACCCACATGGACACAACCCAATTTCCCCAGCTCCTACAGTCAGGTCCAGTCCCCAGCCAACATACAGCTGAACACAGCAGCATGAGAGACCCAGGGACATGAGTAGAACTTGCTGGACAACTCATAGAATAGTGGACAACACACAAGTGCATAAGACAATGCACTTTGGGGTAGCTTGTTACACAGCAGATCACGGACAACCCCCCCCCACCACCACCATATCCTTGTGTAGTGAATGAGCGGGTGAGTGAGTGTGCGTAATTCTCAGAATTACCCTGCAGTCTACCTAGTGGGCAAACAAGTTTTGAACGTTGGCCTACAGCAAGGTCGGACCAACTCATTCCCCTGCTAAACACCCAACAGTGATTTTCCATTGACCTTGGGACCAAGTCTAAGTGAAAGTCCAGCAAGGAGAGGTTGGGGTCCTGCTGATTTCTCCCACCTCATCCCCTCCCTTCCCCCTCTTCAGGACCCTTGGGCCATTTTAGATTTCTCTTTGTCCCTTCCAGGATTTGGCTTACATCCTCTGTGCCTCTGGTTCAGCACTTCTCCATGAAGGCAGTCCCACCCCAGGGACACTTTGAAATTTTATGGGAAGACTATTTTTTATTGGCATAACGGGGAGCAGGGATGCTAGACAGCACACCACATACAGCTGGACAATCTCATCTAGCAAAAAGGCAAGCCTGTGGGTGACTGCCCAGCCCAGACCCTGAAACCACTTGGCACATAAACAAAGAATCAGCCAGGCACAGTGTGCACGCCTGTAATCCCAGCAGCTCCAGAGGCTAAGGCAGGAGGATCGAGAGTTCAAAGCCAGCTTCAGCAACTTAGTGAATTAATACACACACACACTTGCGCACGCACACACACACACATATATACACACGTATGGCTGGGGATATGGCGCAGTGCCCCTGGGTTCAATTATCCCTGGTGCCAAAATAAATAAAAAAACAAACACAAAGAATCTTTGCACTGTTTTAATATTACTAAGTTTCACCAGACCCAGCAGGGCTCACCTATAATCCTAGTGGCTTAAGAGGCTGAGGCAGGAGGATCTCAAGTTGAGGCCATCCCCAGAAACAGTGAGACCCTGTTTCAAAGTAAAAAATAAAAAGATCTGGGGGTGTAGGTTAGTGGCAGATTGCCCATGGTTCAATTCCCAGTACCTAAAACAAACAAAAGCCCCTATTTTCCAGAAATGTAACTGTCATGGTAACTTAAAGAAAAATGCACTCCGGCTGGGCGCGGTGACACCTGCCTGTAATCCCAGCCGCTTGGGAGGCTGAGGCAGGAGGATCACGAATGCTAAGCCAGCCTCATAAATGGCGAGGCACTAAGCAATTCAGTGAGACCCTGTCTCTAAAATGCAAAATAGGGCTGGGGATGTGGCTCAGTGGCCAAGTGCCCCAGTGCCCACCCCCAAATGCACTCTGTGCTGGGACCTTACCAAACACGCCCATTTGAAGACCATAGTACCCATGCTCTTGCAGCATCTGAGCAGCCACAAGGCTGTTCTGTTCAGTGTGCACTGCAGCTGTCGCCGTTGAGGGGGCTCCCCTGTTGTTCTAGGGGACATGCGTGAGCGTTGTCTATTGAAATAAAATTAGCAAATTATACATCGCTTTCATTTTTGTTCTCTTTGGTTATTATCTTTTATTAAACCTGTGTGTGGGAAGGTTTTATTATCTCTGCATTTCATTTTAGATAGTTACCAAAGGCGTTTATTTATTTTTAAAAGGGGAGGGTGTGGTGCCTATGAGGTTGGTGAACACACTGGCTGTCCCCTCCCCACTAACTGCTCTTGGTTCAGTGTCCCTAAAAGAGGGTCCTCGCCAATCTCCCGTCCTCTCCCTCCTGCCCCACCTCCTCCTTCCACACATCTTGATTTATTTCTTAACTGCAGTAAACTTAATTTGGAAGCGTGGTGTTATTTATCTGTGTATCCGTTCCCTATTGCCTCGTAACAAATGACTCAATCACCAGCTGGTTCAAGTCAAGCATTTATTGTTTCCGTTTCTGAGGGTCAGGAATTGGAGAGCAATGTGTACTGGGTGGGGGGGGGCTCTGGCACAGGGTCCCCTCTGAGATGGCAGGCAGTGTGTATTCTGGGGCTGCCAGCACCTGAGGCTCCACTGGGGCCACAGGATCGACTTCAGAGAGGCTGCTCATGGCGTTGGTGGGAGGTCTTCGTCCCTCCCATGTCCACAGAGTGCATGAGTGTGATCAGATGTGGCAGGCTGGTTTTTTCATAGTGAGTGATGGGGCAGAGAGAGAGGGGGGAGGGAGGAGGGGACTGGCTATAGGAAGCAGAAGTGGGTTTTTGTGTGTGTGTGTGTGTGTTTACTTTATCTCCAGAGGTTCACCATGAAGACTGATCAGAAGTGCTGATTTGGCAGCTCAAATGCCATGGTAGGTTGGTGCTGGAGTCTTAGAGTAGTGAACACTATTTTTTTTTTTTTTTTTGAGAGAGAGAGAGAAAGAATTTTTAATATTTATTTTTTAGTTATCGGTGGACACAGCATCATTGTATGAGGTGCTGAGGATCAAACCCGGGCCACACGCATGCCAGGTGAGTGCACTACCGCTTGAGCCACATCCCCAGCCCTGTGAACAGTATTTTTTTAAATACTTTTTTAGTTGTAGAGGGACACACAAAGTCTTTGTTTGTGAATTTATTTTTATGTGGTGCTGAGGATCGAACCAGTGCCTCACACGTGCTAGGCAAGCACTCTGCCACTGAGCTATGGCCCCAGCCCAGTAGTGAACAGTATTTTATAAAAGTTCTGCACTTTGCCTGGATGGCCACATGGATAAGCAGTTAGTGACTAGGTCGGGTCCCCACTCAGGAGGAGAAACATCAGGTTTTAGATGGACAGGAATGTCCCACGATGTGTTAGTCACACACCATCTTGCCTTCCCAGGTAGAGCGGGATTCCCTGAGGGCAGAGACTGGCTGTCTTGTTCACAGCTCTATGTTCACAACACATAGTAGGTGCTAGGTAATCACCGAGGGGTGATGGATGGAGAGGCTCCAGTGAGCTCTAGAGAATTAAATACTGAATCAGCAGGTATGGGGGGGCAACTTCTGGTCCATGATAGGCACAACAGAGGTCCCCTCAGATGCCACAGCTCCAAGAACCCATCACCCTTCTAGCAAAAATGTTGAAGAGACCACGTCCGTACTCCCTTCCTGAGTAACAGAAACTCCAATTTTCTGCTGGATACATGATAATCTGGAATAATGACCACGTTTATCAGCCTCTCTCGGGGGGCTCTGTGGCCCTGTGACTAAGTTCTAGCTGATTGGGTGCAAGCTATAGGAAGTACCTGTTATCTCCTCTTCCTTGGTTCTATTGACTGCAATGCAAATTAAATGGCTGGAGCTCCAGCAAAATTTTTGCTGTAAAACTTTGCCCTCTTCTTGCTGCTCCCGACTCTAGCACGGGTGGACTTTAGGCTGTGTGTAGATAATGACCTCTCTGGTTTTGAAGGCTGCTCCCATCTGGCCTGTGGCTGGGTCTGCCTTCCTCTGTCTTGGTTAGGCCACTCCCATTTCAACTCTCCTTGTCTCTGTCCCAGGACAGGGAGTGGTCTCCGGCTCTTCTCCTCCTGTGTGTGCCTGTGACCCTGTCTGTGGTCTGTCTACCTCGCCCTCATTCTGTTTCTGCTTTGATCCTATTTCTTTCTCTGCATTCTCTTGTGTCCCTGTCCCTGTGGCCCTATGTCCCCGGTCCCTGTTCTCTGTCTCTGTTTCTCTCTCTCCCTCAGTTATGGTGACCATATGTAGAATATAAAAATACAGGATGTTGGTTAAATCCTAATTTCAGACAAGCCACCAACACGTTGTGTTAGTATAACTGTGTCCCATGCAGTACTGGGGACACAGTTGCACTAACACAGCGTTTCGTCATTTGCCTAAAATCCAAATATAGCTGGATGGGTCACAGCATGTATCTGGCAACCTCCTGCCCGTCCTCTGTGGGCAGCGGCTCCGCTGGGCTCATGAGTCTGAACACAGTGGCTGTCATCAGAGGCGAGAGAGGAGGCCCCTGAGTCCTTGCTGTTCCGAGAGCCTCCCCGACCCTGGTGCCCGCCTGTCCACTGCTACTGGGTCAGAAGCGCACGCCTCTCCTCAGTCCTCTGTCCCAGTCTGACCCGAGTCTTAGGTGACGCAGTTGGCCCCCAGCAGGGTCTGCTCTGACTCCTGCTTTCCCCTGGGTAATGCCTCCATGTGGCGACCAGAGCCAGTCATCAGGGCCTGGTGGGGCCGTGGCCACCTTGCTGGCTGCCCGTCAGGTTTCTCCCGCTGCACAAGGGCCCTCTTTATCCTCGGGCTGTGCTGGAGGCCTGCCCTCCTCCTGGGCCCGGTCTCCGCGGTCGCTCAGGTGGCCCCACCCTGGCCCTCGACGTGCATTTTCCCTGGGCACTGAAGGTGACGTTCAGGTGCAGCTCTGGCCTCCCCCTCAGTCGGGGCTGAAGCACCCCTTTCTGGACCTCGATTCAGGAAGAGCGTCAAATGAGGACTGGTGAGGTTCTCACCAAGGGAGGATCTACCAGTCCCTCTCCGTCTGTCTGCTGTCTCTCCACCCATCCGCCCATCTCTCTCGGTGGTAATCTGCTCACCTCCAGAGGCACCGAGACGTATTGCTGGGTTCAGCCTGAGTGGAGACATCTCTATTGGACCTGGCCCGCGTCTTTGGGCTCCCCAGGAAGAGGACCTTGAAGAAGCATGGAGTGTGGTGGTGACATGCCTGTGCCCCAGGACACATGGCAGAGGCCTGGGGATGGAGGCAGCCAGTAGCTGCACAATGGCTGGCCAGTGACCTCCCAGGGTGACAGGGTTCCTGGCAGTGGGGAGCACGGGGAGCCTGGGTAGACCTGCCTCAGAGCCGCTCCAGGAGAGGGAGCCGGAGCCGGCTTGGCTCCCTGCGCCCCTCTGTCGTGGCCTCAGGGCTGCTTGTGGGTGTTACCCCGACTCTGTCCTCTGCCCAGGCTGACAAGCCCCAGGGCCCAACACCGCAGGTGCCCACAGGAAGTGGCCTCCTCCAGCCAGGGGGTGAGGGCCGAGGGGGTGGCTGGGCACAGTGGCATCTGCTGCACATGGTTTGTACCCTTGTTGTTTTTCAATAAGCCAGACTCTCTGTGCGAGGCCCTCATAGGCTGCAGACGTGCTCGGCGAGCCCAGGGAGGACAGAAGTGTCAGCTGTTGGCACAGGGGACCGCTGAACCTGCAGGCCAGGCGGCCATGCAGGGTCTCTGCCCAGCCCCCAGAGGTCCTCTGGGCCCTGCCAGATGACAATGCCCTGCCAGGCTCCTGTCCCCATTATTGCATGGGACTCAGTTATACTAACACAACATGTTGTGGCTTATCTCACTCCCCCGCTCTCTGCTGATGCTTTCTGGAAGCACCTCTCAAATAAAGCCCTTGTGCCCAAATATTTGTCTGAGGGTGTTGTTCTTAAGGATTTCCACTGTGGCAGGATAACAGACCCCGAAGATGCCCTAGGCACATGCTTCTTCGCCCTTTCCTCCTCCTGGCCAGAATGTGGGCGCAATGGCTGGAACTGGAGCAACTCTTTTAGACCATAAGGCAAGGCACTAAATGGAACCAGAGAATCAAGACTAATCAGAAAACTGAGAATGAGGCTCAGGAGATAGGTGGCAACGAAGCATTGGAGAGACTGGATATCACAGCGAAGCACATTCTGGAAAGGCTGCGGCTGCTGTGTCGGCCGGCGCTGCACCCCTTCTTGCCTTGTCTGCTTGCTGGCGGTGCCACCCTGGGTACCGCACTTGGCCATCTGAGCAGTGGGACAGTGACAGAGCCGGCCTCGTGCTCTGTTAGTGAGGACATGTGTTGATGCATATAAAGCACCTGGAGTATTCCCTGCACACAGTAGGTGCTTTGTATTTCCTTCTCTCCATCACTAGATGGTTCTCGAGCCCTGGTCACTGCAGTTATCAAAACACTTTATTGTCATGAAGCTCAATTTCCAGTGTGGGGAAGAGGACAAGAGATGGTTACGTTAGGGGACAGGCAGATGAGGAAGGGAACCCGAGGTTAAGGGAATAAATCTATAAAGTGGGCCCCTGTGCCGACCCCCACATCTTTCTTTTCCTAGAGGCAATTTGCCTGCACCCTGCCCGGTCTCAGTGGACAGGACATGTCACATTCCTCAGCAAACTACCTGTCCACTTCAGGGGAAATGCAGGCCCAAGTTACCCTGAAGGTAACCAGATCCTGAAACTCTGGGAGATAAGGATAGTTCCTCTGCATCAGAAAATCTGTAGGAATGTGTGATAAAGAATCCAGTTAGAACCAGTCAGCTTGGGCCAAGGTGACCTGGACTTGTCATGGCAGTGGGGACTTGAAGTCTGATGTCACCCTGCTGTCAGTCAAAAGTCAAAAGGTGGACTTGGGTGGGGCTCTCTGGAAACTTCTCTGGGATCCCCAGTAAAGCTGGAGTACAGCAGAGGCAGGCTGACCCTGTCCTCTCGGAGAGGACCCCTCTCTCCCTTTCCGTAGCCCTTCAAGAGACCCATGCCTGTTACTCTGAGCACGTGTCTGGAAGCTTTCTGACTTCATTGCAAGAATCGGGGTTTGCAGGAGGGTCTTCAGCTGACTCAGGTTCCTGGAGGCCCCCGCTCTGTAGCAGTCACAGCCTCATTGTATCCAACTTTGGGATTTCATCAGGAATTAGTTGTGGTCATTTAAAAATATGTCTACAAATTTGTTGGTGCTTCTCCTGTGGCTGGGTGAGCTGGAGACTGAAAAGCGTGAGGTGGAAGAGGGCTGCTGGGTGACTTCTGAGGCTGGTTTGTAGGAGCCGATTCACTCTGCCTGAGCCAGGTCAGTGGCCCGGAGTCCACCATGCTGTGAGGAAGCCCAAGTCACCCACCCGGGGAGGCACACAGAGAAAGGAAGAAGCCTGCTGCCCCCAGAGCCCCAGGCCCCGCTGTCTGCCACCACATGAGAAGTCTCCAGCCAGAAGGGCCAGCCACGGCCTCCCTGAATTCCTGTCCCACAGAAACTAGCAGAAGAAATGATTTTTTGTTGTTTTAAGCCCCCTAATTTTGGGGTTTGTTATACAGCAAGAGAGTCCAGAACAGTCATTTAACCAAAGCGATTTGAAAACCACAGAAGGGCTCCCCGCTGGTGAGGTGGCTCTGAGAGAGCTCCTCAGAGCTCCAAGCCCTGTGGAAGCTTCCAGCATTGCCCCGGGGGAGGGCGGCTTGGACCAGGACTGCTGCCTGGGAGGGAAGAGCAGGCAGGTTCGAGACAAGTGTGGACATTTAAATGAACTGTTGGGGAACAGGAGGATGCGAGGACAAAGCCTGGGAGGGAGTTTAGGGTGACCCCAAGTTTCTTGCTTGGCAAACACGATGGGTGGTAGGACGTTTCCCAAGACAGGGAAAAGCTGCTCTTGGGAGAAGAATGGTCCAAGAGTCCACCTGGCAATGCGCACTCCTCCTGAGCAGGCAGCCTCCCACCACGGCCATCGGAGCAGGAAGGAAGAGGGGCCCCCAACCCATTTCCTTAACCCTGATGCCTTTTGTGTCTCGGCCACCAGAGGGCGCCAACGTCGGGCGGTTCTGTCCACTCGGGCTGCTCCTGCGTCACTCTCAGAAACTGGGACGTCTGGCTCCTCTTGCCTCTGAGCTCCCCGAGGCCCCCACGAGGTCTGACCACTACCCCGGGCGCCAGAAAAGGGCTGCTGTTGGCTTAGTTGACCCCTCAGTGCTGACCAGAAAGTCTCCTCCTCACAACTCCCCACCCGAGCCCCTGCACCCCGCACTCCTGGGGATGTCCTTTATTTAGTTTGCACTGCCAGCCTTCGGTGACAAACCAGAGAAGTTCGCCTCTGAACCTGGACTCCGCCTTGCTCTCCTCAGTGACCGCAGTCACCCGCGCCCCTCTCTGTTGGTCCCTCTCCTGGCGGTTCTTCAGCTGGGACCGGAGAGCCCAGGGAGCTGTCTCCTGGGGCTGTCCCCTCCCTGCCTCGGTCTTCCTTCACGTGACTCCAGGCCCGAGCTGGCTTCCCCATGCCTGTGCCTGAGGCTGACTTCCAAGCTGGATCCTCCAAGGCCGTGAGTCCCAGAGCTCCAGGGCCGGGAGCAGAGGGACCAAGGCTCCAGGTTTCCGTGAATGTCCCATGGGGAAGAGATTATTTGGCGATAGAATCCGTCTGTTCCTAAAAGAACCAAGACCCTAGAAATCGCAGACCCCTCTGCCCTGGTGAAGATGGTTCCCAGACTGTGGGTGCTCCACTTCCTCCCCGCTCAGGGCTTTGCTACCCCCTGGTTTTCCCAGGGTCACAACTGGCTCCTGTTGCTGGTCCCTCCGGCTCAACCCTTGATTGAAGCCTTTTCCTGGTTTGGGTTTGTTTTGTTGTTTGTTGTTGTTCTTTTCATAGCCTGAAAACTCCTTAGGACAGAACCACTTTTTTATCCATCCTGAGTTCCTTAGAGCCAGGCCACCCACCTCCCCAGCCTCCCCGGTACAACCAGCCACAGTGCAGCACGTGCGCACACGCGCATACACACGCACACACACACGCACGCACACGCATGCACACTCGCGCACACAAACACGCACACGCATGCACACATGGCCTCATGCCGCAGTCCGGCTGCAGCAAAATAACCGGGGGGTGACAAGCAAGTTGTGTAGATTGATACAGCAGGCGTGGGAGCCGTTTATTGCAGGACAGGAGGGGTATTTATACATTCCACACAGCTTATCTAATTAACATAAACTAGATACAGCAGTCAACCAATAAGGAATCTCCACACTTAATGGCTCGCTGATGTTACTTCATAAACCACTCCCTCTGGCAAAATGCCAGGCGCCATCCTGACTTGTTTACAGACCCTAACAGCCTCACTCAACTGGAGTCTCACAAAAAGAGGTTGTGTTTGTTTATTTTACCAATTCATGGCACTTTAGGGGAAAACATAGCAATATAACCAAGTTTTCATGAATAAGTGCTGTTTATTCTAAAAATCTCCTTTCTTGGGGGGTACAATGTTCTTTTTTTGTGTTAAGTAATAGTGAAAATATTTATTTAGTGTTATTTTAGCTAAAGATCTTTACTGGGCAATGTAAAGAGTAGACCATCTTAGGTTGGTCACCCGATCATTGGTTTTTAAGAATTTTACTGGGTTGGAGAAACCCCGGAGATTGGGGGCCATCATCTCACCACACCTAGCACAGCCCCTAAAGTAGAGCCAGAAAACCCTGAGCTGCCCAATGACACAGTTTCACTTCTAGGTACAGACCCAGGAGAATTGAAAGCAAGATTCAAAAACCCCATACAGGACCGTCCAGTGCAGCATCATTCACGATCACGAAACAGTGTCGATGACCCAAATGTGCATCACAGGACGAATGGACAAGTGATAATATCCCATGCAATGGCATGGTACTTGGCCTTGGAGAAGAAGGATGTGTGACACACGTCATGGGTAGACCTCGGGATTGTCACACGGAAGACCCTCCAGTGCACACCTACATTCACATGGATTCCCAGAGTGGGCCAACCTCCAAAAACAAGGCAGATGGTAGGTGACCAGGGCTGGGGACGGGGTCTTTTTTTTTAAGAGAGAGAGAATTTTTTAATATTTATTTTTCAATTTTCGGTGCACACAACGTCTTTATTTTTATGTGGTGCTGAGGATGGAACCCAGCGCCCCGCGCATGCCAGGCAAGCGCGCTACCACTTGAGCCACATCCCGGGGACGGGGTCTTGATGATGACCACCCACAGGTACAGGTTTGGAGATGATAAAAATGCTCTGAAATGGATTGTGGTGATAGTTGCCCGACTCTGTGACTGTCCTAGAAACCGTCGACTTACGTGTTTTTAAAGGGTGAATGGCAGCGTGGGTGAATTATATCTCAGTTAAAAAGCAAAACACAGCTGGAATTGTACTCCGGGTTCCCAGGTCAGTGACAGTCACCTTCTCTAAGGGTATCACCACCAGGGGGCTGTGCTGGGCAGCTGCCTGGGTGACGGAGGTCCCGACCCCGGCTGCAGTATCTGCGGGGCACATGGCTGGTGAGTTTCTGGGGCTCTTGCTGGGGACAGGAGGTCCCTTCTTAGAGCTGCTCTGGTGTTCCGAGGCCTGCACACAACCAGGCTGTAACTATGCATTTGACGTTCTGAGCTCCTGCCCTGCTCGAGCCGCGAGCCGCGGAAGGCTCAGCCCTGACCTGACATTGGCTTCTAACAGGATCCTTCTGGTGGTGAGTGGAGACTATGGGGCCAGAGGGACTGGGAGTGAGAAGCACCAGTGGCAGGTACTAGTGGAGGAGGTGGGGAGGGGTCCGACTGGGAGCATTTGCTGATGGCTGGTGCCGTGGAACACTCCTGTCATCCCAGCGGCTCGGGAGGCTGAGGCAGGAGGATCATGAGTTCAGAGCCAGCCTCAGCAACT